ATATCAGCGAATGCAACGGTGGTCTGGCTGCCCAGGCCATACAAAACGGCTAGGGCGATGCCGAACACGCTGAAAGGTAGCGCTGACTCAATAAGGATTGCGATTATACCTAGGCGATCTCGCATGCTCTCGCTTCCACCGGCGTTTCTCATGGCAAAATAAGTGGACAAGAGTCGTCCACAGATGAGGACAGTGACAAGGACGTTGAATGAAACCGTTAGAGCAATCCACGGTACTCCGAATGCCAAAGCTTGTCCGGAGAAAAATGATGTGCCGGGACGAGAACCAGCCACGATAGTCATGACGCCGAGCGCTATATGAAGATTCAGGAATTTTTCTTTAGAAGAATTCGAGAGATGGGACGCACTGAATGAGGAGATAAAAAGCAATGCAGGGACGACGATAACCCAGATATTGGACGACAGTAGAATGTAACAACGATACATCTGTTGTCGATGAGCGTGGTTTCCGCGAGATAGCCAGAGAGCCGTACCATTAGGCCATTGCTCATAGCGTCTGCGGCTACCACAACGGACAGTCCAAGTATATTTACCCACCAGGAATTATGCTCTATCCACCATTGAGCGGGACCTCCTGGCAATTCGTCTCGATGATCTATCCACATCCCTGCCCCTAGCGCTTTCCGCGTCACGGCTGCTGTCCCCACCAGGAACACCAGAAAGAACCCATACAGGATGAAGAACGCTCGCTTTCGTTGTGAATACGCTCCGTGGCATAGGTAGTAGGCAGATTGGAAAAAAAGTGCAATTTCCACGCCTAGTACGACTCCTCCGTAAGTCAGAATCGGGAAATGAAACGCAGATGGGTACCTAGTAGCACAGAGGAGACGAAATCTCCTAGATAAGAGGATCTCTCGAGGACAATGAAAGCGTTAGGGTCGATGGACATGCGGCTAAACTGGGGAAAGCAGTTAGATTAAGTAAAGATTGGTGGCGCCCCGACCACGACGGGGAGACTGTCAACGGTTATTGCGGTGATCGCCCGGTTACTCTTGGCCGGGACGTAAAGCGTTATTGTTGAAGCCCTTCAACGCAAAAATGAGTGCGGGCGTTCGAAGGGTGGTCTGTGACGGCGAGCGCAAAGAGAAGCCTTACAAAACTCAAGCCAGTGGTGCTTATATTAGTGGACGGTGGGAGCGAATAGGTGGGATCAGAATTCGAAGGCGATGCATGCTGCGTCTCCTCGAAGCTTCTCGGATGGCTTACATACCGACGTGGAGTACTTACCTTACCTACATCAACGGTCTGATCCAATAGGCATCAGCCTCACGGCGATGTTCTTGTTTCAACCCAATAGACTGCTGACTAGCCTTGCCACGGGATTCCGTGTCTAAAGTTGGCTTGAGCTTCTTTCCTCCTTGTTCCTTCCATACTTCAGCGGCCAGCCAATCACCACGACACCAACTTTCCACACCCATAGTAGTGAATCTTAAGCAAGGTCGGGACGCACCTGACACAGAAGGCAGTGTCCTTGCGCTCAAATAAGAGCGCTCGTGACTGACGAAGAGGTTTCCGAATGTTGTACCTTGAGCATGAAGGTGGTCAAGTCTGCGTATCGAGATTGCCAATCTCTGGAGACGTTCATTTCATCGATGAAACCGTCGTCTTCCTCGGGGCATGCCAATAGCCGATGATCGCTTAGATAGAGCTAATTAGAACCTCTACTAGCGCCACGTTGCGCTGCCGTCTAGCTACCCTGGTCATCAACATGGACGATGAGCACATTGCGCTGGATGAAGAGTAATGCAGGAGAAAATACAGTGAAACAAGTATTTGATCTTTGACGCCGCCATTCATGGCCGCAGGGTGAAAATACTTCGTCGTTGTCGACGGATATGAAATGTAGTCCTCGTCCATCGGGACAAAGAGTTATTTTAGGGGCTCATCGCAGACTGCAGTGAGCATCATTTAGTGTGAAATTTTGCCTGACGCGAGCTCTCCGCGGTGAGAGTTCGGTGGCCCTAAATCGCAAAAGGCGTTCAACAAGGTGCAAACAGACAAGTTCCACCTGAAGACATTCAAGTCGAGCTCCCGAATCATACGTCTTCCACCCGTGCTTGAAGGCAAAGATCACAAATGCTTAGAAATCAGGTTGTGCTTCTCATCTTGTCCAAGGGCCGGACTATGTTACCCTGTCCCACCGGCGACGGAAAGAGTTCGTCGATAATCTTTTCAATCCGGAGTGATCGCAGTACTGATGACGGCTGCGCTATCTGCGCGCTACGGACCGGGATCACCGGTGTGAATCGGCGACTTCCATTTCTGGAAATTCTCGCGCACTCTCGGTAATTGCCGTTCTTGGGACGCGCCGCCTCACATTCCCGCCGTCTCGCTCCGAGATAGGTGTACACAGGTTACTGTTCCATTGGGAATAATTATCAGAGATACTAAAGGCTACTGAGGCCAGCTAAACTCCTTCTGGAACACTTTTAATGGGGCACATTGCGATGCAGATGGAATTCTCTATATATACAGCGTTCAAACGACAACTAAAGAATGTACATGCACAAGTCCGTATCTACCACACATCCTACACAGCACACTCCTTAAGCAGAGGCGGCGGCAGCAGCTTGGGCGGCTTGAGCGAGGGTGAGGAACTGGGTGATTAGATCGACAACAGCCTCCTCGTACGTCTTGAACTTGAGGCCGAGCACCTTCTCATCCTCCGACGAGTCGACGAGGCACTTACGCTTCGGCACGGTACCACCGAGCGGGAACGCGCCGCTCTCGATGACACCCGGGAAGTGCTTCTTGACGATCGCGATCGAGTCATCCCAGGTGAATGCGTCGGGGTTGGCCGCGGTGTTGTACACGGGCACGATCTTGCGGACGGTGCCAGGTGCGATGTCGATGGTGAGGGCCTTGATATGCGACTGGGCGGCGTCGTCGATGTGGATGAAGACGGACTGGGTCGGTGGGAAGGGGAATCCGAGGAGGGGCGCAAGGGGGACGATGTTCGAGCCGGAGACGAGCTCCTTCGACTCTGAGGCGAGTTCAAAGCGGCCAATGGTGGTTCCGAGGAGGATGGAGGCGACGGTGAAGTGGGGCTTGCGCTCCTCGACGAACTTCTCGACGAGCTTGGCGGAGAGGACCTTGGAGATCACGTACGCGATGGGGCCGACAGCCTTTTCGGGGTGGGGGCTGACGAGATCCTTCGCGACCTCGGATTTCCCTATAGAGCGTATCAGGTGAGATCGATATATTCATTATCGTATCGATAACGATTACTCACAGCTGAGGACGAGGTCAGAGTCGCCCTGGAGGCCTTCGCCGGTGAAGAGGGTGGTGACGGAGGAGGTGATGAGGACGCGCTTGACGGAGGGGGCCTTTGCGGCGGCTTCGAGGATGTTCTCCGTGAACTTGACGTTGCTCTTGGCAAATTCGGCGACATCGATGGGAACATCGACCGAGGTGAACTGCTGGGCGGCGACGTGGAGGATATACGAGACGCCGGCGGTGTGGGCGTCGAAGGCACCATCAACGCTGAGGTCGGGGACGACTGCGAATTCGACCTTATCCGCATACGGCGAGATGGACTTGGTCGCCTTGATCTTCGTGACCTGCTCAGCCTTGCGTACGACGGCGCGAGCTCTGTAGCCAGCTTGGAGTGCCTCGGCGAGAACGCGGAAACCACGTGTCCGGAAACACCAGTGATCTGTTGGGATGGAGAGGGCAGATGAGTTGGTAATTAGCGCTCGAATAGAGGTTCACAGCGACGTACCAAGAGGAGTTCTCCTGCCATTTCTTTTGTAGATTCGGGTTGGGTAGTGGTAGAGGGCTTTGACTGGGACTTGGACGAACAGAGGTTCTTGAGTTTTGGGAGCTTGAAGAACGTCATTATATACGGTGAGCGATCCACTTGTGCCGTTGTGTGATTTTATGGACCGCTCAAAGAGCCGCATGCCCGATGAGTAAGTCCCACTCCAGATTCTGCGCTAATCCTGGTCGAAATAAGAGGAGTCGGGTAAATTGGGGGGCAGGCATGGCCTGAACACGATCACAGACGCGTCCTCTGATGCACGAATCCTCTTTCTGATTGTCAACTGCTCTAATTTGAGACCAAGATTGCGGGGTCCCCCACTTTCGCTCCAAATTCATTCCATCCGGAGGTTGACATAATGCCGTACCTTTCTTGCGGGCGAGCAGCTGCGATAAGAACGTCCGATATCACGTCGGGGATAGACGATGGCGACGTAGTTGCAACAGATTATGACAGTCTGGGGGTTGTGCATGCCCACACCTGAAGATTTGGAACGGAGATGACTAGGAGATGACTAACCATTCCAATCAAGGAAGCAAATTCTTCCTTTATTTCCGAAAACATCAATCTTCCGGGACGAAAGGAACATGACATAAGATCGGACGCGGCAGAGCCAAGCCCTTGCCCCAAATCTCAACACGAACCACATCTTCGACAGCTCCAGTCGGGTTTGATTTCGCCGTCCTGGGTGGACACGTCGAAACGAATCAGGCCCCGTTCTACCTGGGGTATATTCAGTAACGAACTTGGCCCGAATGGCAGTCTTCTCTGGACATAAAGGATACTCCAATCAACGCGCCCTGTTTACGGACCTATTGATAACGGTGGACCACGATGGCCCCAGTCAGCGTGCAACTCCTGGCGTCGGTAGGCGCTGTTGTTCTTGCATCGACGCTCTTTCAGAAACTGGTGAAGAAGACCGACAGACGGCTGCCGGGTCCACCTACCATTCCATTGCTCGGGAATGCGCTGAACTTCCCAAGATCGAAGCCATGGATCCAGTTCTTGGAGTGGAGCAGGGAGTATAGTACGTTTTTCAAGCCTTCATTGTCGTCATTGAGATTCTAAACCATGAGTGACAGAGTCGGACGCCATCCAGCTTGAAGTTCTCGGCAACAGAATCATCATCCTTAACACCATCGAGGCGACGCAGGAGCTGTTCGTGAAGCGTGGCCTTAACTATTCCTCCAGGTACGTCATCTCTCGATTGAAGCTGACGCGCTCTCACGTCCCCGAGTCGTTCAGACCTCATATCCCTATTCTTGACATGTGAGCCTGGACGTTCAAATTGTCTCCTATTCGACTAACGACTCTCAGCGTTGGACGCTCGATCGACTGGCTTTTCCTCAACTACACTGCCGACCGTGTGTGGAGAGGTACGACAAGGCTTTATCATTCCAGTGCGATCTCTTCTCATCGAACCAACAGACCACCGTAAGGTCTACCATCGTGAATTCGACACACAGACGGTCCTTCACCGCCCGTACGAGACGTCCGCGACGAAAGTACTCCTAAAGAAGCTGTACAGTAACCCGAATGACTTTGTCGACCATTTGCGAGCGTGAGTTTCAGTTAGTCCCCTTTCTCCTCTCACGAATCTTACCGCCACAATCATTCTAGTACGACAGGAGAAGCCATTCTTGGAACAACCTACGGTATCTCGGTCCAGCCCAAGGACGACCCACTCCTCGCCATCGTAAACAAGTTCGTTGCTTCTTTGGATAACGCAATGGGAGCTAATGCCATCGGTAAGTCTATCCTTAGTGTCGAGTCCGTCGGAACACTAACAGTCAGTAGTCAACGTCTTCCCCGCCCTCCGCCACCTTCCAAGATGGGTACCGGGTCTTCAATTCTACCCTATTGCCGATGAGCTGAGGAAGAGCTCGATCGACATGCCGGAGATTCCTCTTGGACACGTACGCCAGCTCATGGTATGCCAATGTCCAGTATTATTCCATGATTTACTTTTCTCATCATTTTTCGACAGAAAGAAGGAACTGCCCCTCCGTCCGTCGCCCTACGCGCTCTTGAAGCCCTCGAGGAGACGAAGGACAGCCCAGACTACCCCCATGACATGAGAGTCCTCCAGAACGTGCTAGCGGGAATCTACGCCGCTGGCGCTGATACCGTCAGTACGCTTTCCGTTTCGCGTTTTTCCTCATTTAATCGTTCCTATGTTCAGACTCTGACCGCCATGCGTTGGTTCTTCTTCACGATGATCAAGTTCCCGCACGTCCAAGCTAAAGCACGCGCCCACATCGACCACCAAACCGAGGGCAAACGTCTACCAGATTTCGGCTCCGACTTCGGCTCTCTACCGTACATCGAGGCCGTGCTCAACGAAGTGCTCCGGTTCTTCCCTGTGCTGCCCATTGGCATGCCGCACTGCGTCGTCGAGGACGATGTCTATAACGACTGCCTCATCAAGAAGGACACGATCGTGTTCGGAAACTCGTGGGCGATCATGCGCGATGAGAAGATCTACGGACCGGATACGCATGTGTTCAAGCCTGAGCGGTTCTTGAACGAAGATGGCAGCAGGAACATGGCCATTCCGGACCCGGATCAGGCGTTTGGCTATGGGAGGCGCGTCTGTGCTGGCAAGAGTGAGTTCATCTTCTCTTTTCCCTGTGCCTGCGATGTTGACTTTGGCCTTGCGTAGACGTCGCCCGAGAATTCCTGTGGCTCATGATGGCATCTATCTTGTCATCGTTCGAGATTTCTCAGGGCGTTGGCGAGAATGGCAAGCTCGTCGAGCCGGATGCTGACCATCATAGTAGCGGTCTCGTATGGTGCGTTTCTTTCTTCGATATCTGGCCTTCACGTACCTTACATCTCTTCGTCCAGCCACCCGCTAGCATTCCCCGCGAAGATCGTCATCCGGTCTGAGCACGCAAAAGAGCTTCTTTTCAACACTGATTAGGCTATCAAACCTTTTCCCTTCCCAGGTCTTTAGTAATTCATGTACGTATACATTTTCCGAGTCGTACTTTCCATCGCGGCTGCTTCGTTGTCATTCACTTACATACTCTGTGCCAAATAATTTAAATAAATAGCTATTCTTCGGTTTTTGTGAAAGCATGGGCTGACTAGCTCGAGTGTGAAAACCTTTATCGTCTTCCGCTCTACGCCTCCGTAGTCTTCGATAGCATCCGAGACAAAATAGCCCGCGTTCTTCTGGGGACTTCCATTACGCACCGAGTCTCATGGTTGCTTCGAAAATGAAACGTACTTGCGGCTGCAATAATAAATCATAGAACGATAAGAACGTCGACTTTCCGAAATCCATATGACCGTCGAGATTACTCAAGTGTTTCTCCATGGACTCGTATCTAGTGACGTCGACGGTCTTCAGAGTTAGGCAGCAGTCCCTCCTTGCGTCCAAGAATTTGACAACTTTTAACAAACTCGTGAGAGCTTAACTTGGATGAAGCCAACCCAGCCTTCTAGATTGTTCATCGAGGGAAGAATATTGTTTGGGACTGAAAGTGGCGGACGAAACTTCCTGAGTTCAGTTGTATCTAATCTCCACGAGGTTGTACACTGCCTAAGGCAAACAGGAGTTCGAAGGCGGACGCGAAGGAGGGGGTGGTGTGGGCTAGAAGTAGCGGCTGGACACTCGATTCTTCACAAATCACAATTAACGAGCGTCAGAAGGAGTGCGGCGACTACACCTACGGTCTCGATGTCAGTGATGATCTCAAGTCTCTGCTCCCACCCAACTCCCACCTCGTTTTTAAATGAAGATTTTGTAATTGAAGTCGAGGTAGAGAGACTCACCGAAGTCGTGGTCGCGTAAGAATCAGGGGGAGAATATATAGCTCTGCCCGAACGTCTCTTCAGTTCCTCGCGGCACACTTGCAGAGAGCTGTAAGGGTGCATTTCGGCACAGATAGACACGTCCCAATAGAATGAAGCAAAAACGCGCCTGATCTTCGATCCTTGTTTGATGAAGGCTGAGAAGATAGATACAGTTCGAGTTCGTGGGGATGAGCTGCTCATCGACCGTGTGATGGAGACAGGCGAGGGTCAACGGCTCCAACGATTTCATCCTGTTGAGAGTATGAAGGAGTTCGTGGAACGTGAAGTCCAGGTGGAACATTCGCCAGAGCTCTATCGCTAAGACACGGAGTTGAGACCCCCACAGACTGTGGATTTGACTCCATTATTCTGTGAATATGTAAGAGGATCACCTTGAAAATTGAGGGGCTTTCCGAGTGTCATGTTGAGCGCAATTCCTATGAGGTAATCATGTTAATGAAACCTATATGACGGCGATCCAGAGCCATAGTGAAGGGATTGAAGCTGTTCCAATCATTTCAATTCTATTTCAAGCCACGTACGCCACAATAGCCTTCTTCAGCTTATTTCTGGTAGCAAATCTAATCATCTCACTCAGGATAAAATCCCGCAAAAATAGAGCTACAAAGAAGCGCTGCACACCATATCGGCTAGATTTCCGCCTTTACGTTTTGACTTCGTTAATTCTCAAAGCCCGTGCCAGCGGCGCCGAGGTGCCCGGAGCGCTCGCCGCCTTCCAAGTGCTTATCATACGCCCTGCGAGGCCTTGGGAAATGTCTGCATCTTCTTGTTATTATGCACTAGATAACGCCAATCATGCAGGGTTGAGTTTCGTTGGAGTGATTACTTTAATTTAAGTTGCGCCTCGAGTCAAGGTGTGTCCGCAGACGAATGGATATTCCAGCTACGGAAACGTACATCAAGAGTTTGAAGGTACGTATGGAAACGGATTGGCTGCGAGCTGAGATGAGAACGACGCGAACGAGGATCCCATTGTTCATTTGCACAGGGTTCTAAAATCTCGAACATTAAACTGTATGTTTCATTAAGTGGGGTGCTTCCTTGATTCTCGTGGATTTTCCCACCGCGCCCATGTCGTCGTGATGTAGGGGTCTACCAGTGCGAAATTGAACCTATCTTCCTCAACAGATGTACGGGCATCGGAGGACAGAAGCCTTCTTAGGTATCATCAAAGCATAACTCTAAACTATGATCTAATCTCGAGGAGATAAAGGAATCCGGCGTGGGGCTATTATAATATGAATTATTTGTTACCGACGCCTTCGCTACTCTACTTTGATGTGTGCTGCCATGCACCTTTCGCTGTTATGTGGATGAAACGCCGAATATCCGAAAGCCTCGATTGTTTTGCCATGGAAAGAAAATGCGTCTGAAATTCATCATTCTCCTACTCGGTGCTCGATAGGAATCTACTGCCAGAGAAACATAACCCTTGCTAATTTTCCACTTGCAGGTAGACGTACAATTCAACGATGATCGATGCTCCTTTGTCCATTTCCCAATCGGGGCCAGGTATGCTGGTTCGCGACCGTACCGATCGGAAGTATCAGCGATCAATCGAGAGCGAACCGCTCTACGCGGGGTAGGGCAGTTCGTTTGCCAAGGCTATTGAAACCGGTATCCCCATCTACGCAGAACTTTTACTTCCTTCCGGCAATTTACCTCCACTCGAGGCAAACGTAAACGGATCAGAGATGCCTCCACGAGCTGATTTGATAGGCGGGATAGGGCGGGATCAATCTTACCCCCTTTTCCCGACGTACCTGGGAAGCCTTATTGGTAGTGTATGTCGCCATTTCCGGCCGTGCTTGCGTTTTCTAGTGCCCTTGTTGTACAAGCATGGGCTGCAGGGACTCGAATGCCGCCATCCCCGTCGCTTCAGCAAGTATTTACAATGAGCAAGCCTATCTGGGACGTAACCCGGAGTACAAGGTCCATGTTTTCGCGCCCATGTAGAGAGGCGAGCATGAATCGTCACAGTTCGCACCTCATGGCTGTACGTTGCGGGTGGGGTTAGTTGTGCGAATCAAGGTGATGACTCGATAATAATCCCCACGGCGCTAGATGGAAATTCTACGTGTCTGTTGTGAGACAGTGATGAAATTCGTCTCCTTAGGACTGAAGAACAGTACATGCCCACCTGCCATCCTCAAACGCATTGGACGCCTATCCACCGGTAGAATTATATCCAAATCGGGCCGCGCGTCGATCCCTCCTGCAATGCCGGTCGTCGGGACCGACGCCATATTTGGTAATTCCTAGCGCCGAGGATTGATGACGCCACGATCACGTCATGCAGAAGGTCCGCCAGCGGCGGCGGCTGACCCGGTGTCCGCCTGAGAAGAAAGACAAGGGGAATCGATGGGGCGCATCAGCTCTTAGGACGAGAGAAGATGGTCGTCTTCTGGAGTGATACAATCAGTGACATTTCGCGCTGGATCAACGATTCCGTATGTACACCGCGTCCCCCGATTCTTATTACCGTCTCGCCCGGAGACGTTGCCTTGCCGCGGGAACTATTTTTGGCCGTCCCCAAGGTAAGTGAGAAGATACGTCCACACGCAGGTCGATTACGACAACTTTACGGTGTGTCGTCGGGTACGTGCTTATGTCTTGATCATGAAGTTTGTTATTACATAGCATCTACGCGAAAATCCTTCGAATGTAACATCATTCTTCCCTACTCCAATAGTAGGAATAAGAGTCACGGTCTAGAGCAAAATCGAGAACTAAACTCCCGTCGAGGAACGTCATGCGTAGCTGATATTCTCCAATGGGGGTCGCTGTCTCATTCGCACATCAGTGGTCGCGTTTCTGGGTATCGAAGGTGAATTACAGTGGAGTTATTTTTGATAGATGGTACCTCACAACCAAAGATTAAATAAAGGAAAATACCAGCTCAGCGGAAGTAGGAATCAGGAAGCCCGGAAAGATTCGTCTCCAATTATGTTTGTTCTACGACATAAGTATCTAAAAGTTGAAATTACGAATCGACGACTATAACCCCACATCTAGGCCTTGAGAGCGCGATTAACACTGTTCGTAGGCGTCAGGGTCACAACCCGAGACTTCTTGATCTCCTTGTTCTTCTTCCCGAAATATCTCTCTGTCTCGAAGCTCCATCTGGCACGGAAATCAGTATGAACACCGATATGAATCTCGAGCGGGACTTACTCGACGTTGCCCCGAACCCAGTGTCCGTACCCGACCAACGAGCGGATTGCATCCTTCAGCGCAGCGGCCTTAGCGGGGTTCTTCTCCTTCGCGAGGCGATTCTCGAGCGTGCTCTTTGCCTCTTGGAATTGCTTGATGAGCTTCTCACAAAGAACACCGACGTAGTCAGCAGCGGATTGGAGGTTCAGCTTGGTCTCTTTCATGACGACGGTCAGAACGTTGGCACCGTTGTGCCCCTTAGCTTGTTCCATGTTGTAAGAATAAAGATCCTGTACGTTATTGTTAATGATCGACTGCTTCGGAACGGCGGAATGATGTACCACTCACGTTAGCGAGGAAGATGAGGTCAAGAGCAGCGATGTAGCCCTTCTGGAATACGGGGTCGTCATACATGTCCTGGGGAAGGTCAATGTCCATGAGGTATTCGGCCATATCGAAGCAGGTGCGCGCTCCGCTCGTCTCGCGACGGAGTTTGAGGTATCCTTCGATCGAGAGCACTTCGCCTTTCTCACGGAGTTCAGCTTCCACCGCACCCGCGTGAAACGCAACATCGCAGTGCTCTAGGAATCGGCGAGTACATTCGGGACCGGCGCGAGAGAGGTGACTGAGGCGGAAGCTAAGTGGTAGCGAAAAGTTAAAGTGAGCGTCAGTTAAGTGGTAAAACTCTGTTCGTGGCATACGTACTCCCTGACCATTCTGCACAGTGATGATCCGTCATCGAAGTCGGGCTCGCGGAGGGTGCGGATAGTGATGATGGCGGATTTGTGAGCGTCCTTGCCAGTTTCGGTGTCTGTAACCTCGTCGAAGAACCAGAGGATATTGTGCTGAATTCGCGACGCGTCAGTGGAGGGTCAATTGAAAGGAAGAAATGAAAGCCTACCCAATCCATAGTCGCTCTGAGACCTTCCTTGTCCACGTAGGGATAGGTGTACGACGTGATGAGTTCGAACTTGCAGCGCCTGAAGAACTCTTGCATCTGGGCACCGAGAACCTTCTTGTTGTATTTTGCGAACCATTCACGCGACTCTGCGCAAGCGACGTCGTGATGTGGGTTGAGTCCGTCGTCGGGTAGCGAGTTGAACGTCTTTTCGAGGTCGGGAAGGATGAAGGTAACGGGAGCTGGATTTGGAGCTGGGGCCATCTTGTTGTTGAACAAGAAACTACCCGTCAGCCAGGATGTCAAGGTCTGGAACGCGGCGAGAAGGGAATGGAAGAGGGAGAGTACGAAGTCCCAAACCATGGTTGAGGGGCGGATACGTAGAGCTGGAGATTTCGGGAATATGCATGTTTTATCACGTCCAGAAAGGCCGGTGCGAGTGTAGTGGGAGATAATCAAACCCCGGTATGTTTGGAACCGGTTCAAGGAGCGCCCCTACACCGACTCGCATCGCGCAGGAATGATCGAGCGGCCCTAAGTAAAGGTGTTTCTGTGCAGTGCCTGCCTGGGGGTGGGGCTTCGTAAGTTTCTGGTCCAAAAAAATTTCGGTCCGAAACCTTTGTCATACCTGTCTCCGTGCGCTTCTGTGGGACTTTGTCGGATGGAAGAGGGCCATGCGTTTCGTACCGAGTTATCCGCGTTGGGCGGAGGCCGGTTAACAATTGAATAGTGAACGATAACGTCGCGGAGGTGGAGAAGATGCTGGTGCAGTGACGGTGAGCGGCCACTATTGCCTCCGGCAAACGCCGAGAGCCTTGTCTCAACGGACTTGGTTCGACTCGCCCTTTCATCGCGCTCATCCTGACAATCTGCCCTCTGCGACCCTAACTCCTTGTTGAATTCATCGGTAGAAAGATGTATGACACTTCCAAATGGGCCAGCGCCCCGTTTCAGACCGTCCAAAATCACCGACATCTCAACACTTCGAAAGGTGGCTACTCCGTTCTGACAACCTCCGTCTGGAGGGGTACGTTAATCAGCCGAGAGCCACTCTGAGTCGAAATCCATATCAACACCGACGTCCTTGTCCATACCAACACCTCGTTTCGACAGTTCAAATATGGTCTGCGACTACGCTGGAAGGCTACTTTCTGCTCTAGGTTTCGTCCTTCAGCCCACTCGAGCTGACGCAGCTACCGAGAAGATGCCTTCAATCGACATCGCCCGCCACGAGTCTCCAATCTACATCCCAGACGGCGATGTGTGGTCACAGAACGATGAAGAAGTATGTTTGTCCAGTGTTCGACATATGGATCACCGCTGATGAAGTCGCCCACAGTCCATTATTGAGCCCTATAGATACATCGCTGGCCTCCCAGGGAAAGATATGAGAGGGAGATTCATCGACGCGCTCAACCTATGGATGCACGTCCCCACAGAGCCTCTCAAGATTATTAAAGAGATCGTGGCAAAGCTTCACGTCGCCAGTCTAATGTTAGCTTTCGATCTCCCCAGCTATTCATCACAGCTGACGGACGGCTGTGCACAGGATTGATGACATCGAAGACAACTCTGACCTCCGACGAGGGCAGCCGTGTAAGCGAAATTCGTCCTATACGTGCTACTCCATGCTGATAGCGATTCGTAGCGGCCCACAAAGTTTTTGGGGTGCCTCAGACGATCAACTCGGCAAATTACATCTACTTCATGACAATGGAAGACGCCTTCAAGCTCGAACCGTACTCGCTAAAAGGTCGCAGCGCGATCAGAGCCGTTGTTGGTCAGTAACATAAGTTCGGCCTCGAGGAGACCTACTCACTCATAATTTCGTCTATAGCTGAGCTCCTGAGCCTACACAGAGGCCAAGGCCTCGATATCGTCTGGAGAGACAACCGAAAATGCCCCACAGAGTCGCAATACGTTGACATGGTCAACAAGAGTTCGTCTCTCTTTCCTCCTACTTCCTTTCGCATTCTCACGCCGCGAATCTTAATTTTAGAGACCAGCGGCCTGCTTCGCGTCGCTGCCAAACTCATGGCCACGTGCGCCACGAAAAATACCGACGTGTGAGTGCTTCTACTTCCATGATCAGCGGCGGGTGGACCTTCTGACCTTCTCTCCGAATATCCAGGGACTTCGTTCCGCTCGTGGACGCGTTCGGAGTGTTCTTCCAAATTCGGGACGATCTCATGAATTTGGACAGCCGAGAAGTACGTGCTCTTTATTTTTGTGTTCTGGAGAAGACCTTCGTGTTCTGATCCCACGTTAATTTAGTATGAGGAAACGAAGGGCTTCGCGGAAGACCTGACCGAGGGCAAGTTCTCGTTCCCCATCATCCACGGGATCAACGAAAAACCCGATAACACACTTCTCATCGGTACGTTCGGCCTACATCTCTATCTCTCACAGCAGCCTGCTGACTTCCATCTTCTCGCGTAGATGTGCTGAACGAGCACCCAACGACCGCCCCGCCCAAGCTCGAGGCGATCGACTACATGCGGTACCAGACGCGCTCCTTTGAGTACACCGAGACGGTGCTGAGCACGCTCGAGACGTACATCCGCGATGAGATTGAGAGATTCGGTGGCAACCCGCCCCTAGTGGGCCTCGTAGACAAGCTGTCCAAGCGTGGAAACAATTAGAGAATAGACGGTTGGATTTGTTTTGGACTCTCATGTTGATATACACGACGAGGATCCCTTCTGTTCGATAGATGTACTATTTAAATTACCGCACTATATTATGTATGACCCACTGCACAAGAGATTGCAAGCTAGCCACCTGTTTCCTGTTCGAGATAACGATGATGTGACTTGATTAGGACCTCAAAAAATTCAAGGGAAATTAGAAGACGAAAGACCACGCCCAACACTAGTGTATTTCCTTTTAATAAATTGCGTTCATCCGCTGGAGAGACATACCTAAGTCATTCTACTAGTAAGTACTTTACTCAACTCCCTTTGATAACCCCCGCACTATATTAGTACGCGACCTTACTATCACTAGACTAGCTTTAACATACGGTCCACAAGCTTATTATTAATAACTAGATGTAATATCCGGACTAACCGAATACCCCCGTTCTTTAATTGTTTTCTCCATCTTTACTAGCGCGAGGTTGGGCTATAATGGGCGCTTGAGGCTAAGTATTAGCAGATTAAATTTAGCTACAGCGTTCCAGAAAACGTTTGAAGTCTCGCCCAAGTTCGAACGTTCGTTAGAATTTCGAGTTCGCATGGACTATTACTCGTGTCTTCTCGTATTCGTCTCAGGTTCTGCATTCCAACTCGATGGAAGACGGTCCGAGTAGAGAGCGAATACCTCAAGGAGACATCTGAGTTACGAAACAAATCTAATCGGGGACTAGGAAGAAATTTCAGTCGCGCACCATGCTGTATCATAGCCTCACCAGCTTCAGTTTTCGAGCTCAGTCTTCTCTTCTCCTCCTCCCGCGTGTCGCGTCACCGCCCTCACCCTTACCCGTGGCCATACCCACCCGGTCTCTCAAGGGTCGTGCCTATCCACAACCCTATCTGAGCAACCGAAAGCCCGAGTGGCTCAACTTAAGGGCATAAGGGCCTAAGTGCCTAATGGTTCAAGGACGCAGAGTAGCTCCTTGGGCGATAGACCCGGACTTAGCGTTCGGACGAGCGTACAATTGTGTTTAACGTGAGTCGAAAGAGCCATTTGGGTTTGTGGCGCTGGATTGGAAAGCGCTCGATGTCTGTCTGAATCACAGAAGAGTTTTGTGAGGCGTCAAAGAGATAGGAGTTTTCGTAGCTGGATTTGAGGACCCTGGTACGGCGCTGAAGTTCATGTTCAAGGTCGATTGGGATAAGATCTACTTACATAGGTCTTATCGTGCTCGGAGATTGTAGCCGCATTCAATTAAAAGCTCAGCAAGACTCAGTAGTGGGTCATTCTAGATTTGTGGTGTGAGTTACTGTTGAAGGCGACGAGCCTCTCAGAAAATCGTCCGAAGGACTGGAAGAGCTAAATTTTGTTTGGATTCCAATTTTACCTCACGGATTGCGTCCGGAGCCCAAAGGTCGATCATGACGAAGGCTCTTCGTGGGCCTTGCTTCTTCGAAGTGTAACTTAAAGCAGGCGTCGCTCAATGTCCACCACATCATAAATCACTTCAAAGTTCTATCATTCCGCATTGACCGTAACATATCATATCTAAAAATGTATGTCCTCCCCTTCTCCTCGAATCTACTCGAGCATAAGCCCACCATTGACGGAGTACTAAGAGTAGACAGGGCAAAACCTATCAGCCGTCCATCACCCCAACAGAAAAAGAGAGAACACTCACACTTTGACCCGTAATGAACGCAGCGTCCTTCGACGCGAGGAAAGAGACGACGCCGACGATGTCGCTCGTCTCGGCGATACGACCGAGCGGGGCCATCTTTGCCATCTAGGTTGTGATTCGGCCGAGCGGAGAGACACGATCAGTCAAAAACGTCCAGAAAGAGGAGAGAGAGGGGTAAGAATACACACCTGCTCTGTCATGATTTCGGGCGTCATGCCCCCCGCGATGGCAATGGCAGCACCCATGTCTGTCTTGACGGCACCTGAGTGACAGAATCACAACGTCAGAGGGAGAGCGTGTTGCAGAAGATGATGGACAGACCAGGACAGAAAACGTTCGCTGTGATGTTGTGCGGCCCGAGTTCACTCGCGAAGACGTGCATCATGCCCCGCATCGCCGCTTTGGAGGCGCTATACGCTCCGAGTCCGGGCCAGCCTAACGAATGGATTGAGAGAATCAGCCTCGAGAATGAAGGAGAGACAGGAAGAGAAAAGCTCACCGTGCCTGCCTGAGTCTGAGGAGGTTGCGATGAGACGTCCGCCTTTTCCTTGTGCGATCATAGCCTTCGCGGCGTATTTGAAGGAGAAGAAGGTCCCGTGGGTGTTCACGTTGAAGGTTCGAATCCAATCGTCGGCGGTGTCTAGTCGAATATGTCGTTAGAACTTTGAATTTCGCGACCGGGAAGAAGTGCTTACGGTCAATGAGAGGCTTGTACACCGCAATGCCTGCGTTTGCCACGAGCTAATAGCGATTCAAGAGATCAGAATCGCGCAAGATTGAACGGATAGTATGTCACTTACAACGTTGATTTGTCCCAGTTGGGCGACAACGTCGTCAATCAAGGCGATGACTTGTTCTTCGACGCTGATGTCCGCGTAGAATGCTTTGCTGGCACGTCCTTTCGCCACAATCTCGCTCGAAACAGCCTCAAGAGCCTCCTTGTTGATAGAGAGGTCGCTAACGGCGACGTCGAATCCATCTTCAGCGAAACGAAGGGCGATGGCTTTGCCAATACCGCGAGAAGCACCAGTGACGAGGGCGACTTGAGACATAATTTTTGGACTTTGTGTTGGAGTTGTGAGTGAGCGTTCGATGGCTATGTCAATCCTCAAATCACTCATAAAAAGGACTTGGGTATCTCACGAAATTCAGACCCCATCGCAGCTTATGGAATCAGCGGCGTGTATTTCGCAAGGAACGGGATGCGATGCTGTAGGAAGGAGTGATGCGTCAGTACATTACTCTGGTTCGACAGGGCAGCGAGGACTTACTTGGACCCCTTCATTTTTCCACCATGGACGCGCTCACCAAGATGTGGTTGATAAGAAAGTAAGTAGCAATTGAGTGTTCGATTGAAAAGACGGAGGGACAATCCGCCGGCTGGGCGCCCCGATTGATCAGGCCGAGCTGCCGAATTGAACCACTAGCGAACCGGATGTGCCTCACTCCGAACCAGTCCATCGTATCGGCTTGCACATCTACCTCCTTCTACCTCGTCCCTCAAGGCCTCATTCACCGAAACCTCCACTGGGCGCCTCAAGGGTATCGCCACCGGTATTCAATCACGCTCAGGATGAGGCATGTAGCGATGTCCTGTATCCCAATACGCCAACTCACACCTCAGTCTGGCGGCCGCCTTTACCATCCGTCCCCGATTCAGCATGATGCGACTCCATGAAACCGTTGCAGCCGGTACAAATCGACCTAGTCTTCCAGAAGAAGGAACAGACCAGGGTTCGGCACGGAACGCTTGGTTCTTTGATCCATTTGCGGTGGACTTCGTCCAAAAATCTTCCGCAGACCAGCGCGATGAGTAACATGGCTTAGTGTGGTGCGCAAGATGCAATCCTATTTCTTATTCGCATAGAGAAAGATCGTGGGAGACCAATATAAGTGGGCTCTCCGCTGCTCGTCGGACTTTTGGAACGCCTGCTCCACCATCTCCATCCCTCAGCGCACCATGTTAGGACAAGCGTCGCAGTATGTGCTCTACCTTCCAACGGCTGCACTAGCTGCCGTGGCGCTCTGGCTAGCTGCACAGCTCGTCCTCAAGCCGCGCAAGAATAGCTTACCCCCAGGTCCACGGAGGCTCCCACTCATCGGTAATGCACTCGAACTTCGCAAGGGAAAGACCATGGAGGAAATGATCGCTCTCTGGTGGGAACAGTATGGTAAAGTCCTTCGTGACGCTTGTCTCTTGTCTTTATACCGAAACCTGTCATTTGTTCTCTAAGGGAATATCGTCTACGTCAACATCTTCGGGCGCGAGATAGTTTTTATCAATGATCTCGGGATGGCGCAAGAACTTACGGAGAAACGGGGTGCTATTTACAGCGACCGCCCTGCACTCCCTATGTTTGAACGTGAGTGTCCATCCTGTTCCTGGGCCGGATATCTCGTTGACACACTCGAAGTCCTCGGATGGAAAGATACTTTGATCACTATGCCGTAGTAGGTTAACGCCACTGTCAAGTGGTTTACCACGTACTGAAGAGAAACCAACACCAGCGGAAATCAGTTCAGAAAGCATCGGCGAATGATGAACGCGGTTTTGTCGGAGAAGGCGGTCGACTCGTTTGGCCCTGTTCAAGCAAACTCTGCGATCCTCTTGGTCAAACTACTCGCATCCGACGCCGGAAAGGACTTGGAGGTACACATCAGCACGTACGTCTTCCTAGTATTCGCGTGTAGAGAGAACCAAACCATTTATCCAGATATACGGCCTCAACTATCATGAAAATTGCATACGGTCATGACGTTAAGTCACTCGAAGATCCCATAGTAAAGATGTGTGAGCAGAGAGAAATGTTATCGAGATTAAATAGTGATTTGATCTATTCGCCGTGGCAGCTCTTGAAGCCCTGACGAAGACTCTTGAATTCGGAACCGTCTCGACAACAATACTGGACTTCATTCCAGCTCTCAAGTAAGCCTTCAACCCAACGATCAGTTCGATTCGTCGGCGGTGGTGCTTATGGCTCTTGTCCTCCCACATAGGCACCTCCCGACCTGGGCGCCAGGCGCCGGGTTCAAACGCCGGGCACTCGCCCTCCGCGGCAAGGTCGAGCTGTCGCAGTCCCTCCCATACGAGCAGGTCAAGCAACAGATCGTGGGTTTCTTTACGCTCATTATCTCCTTTGACCATACAGCTGATGGTGGTGTATGTACGTACGTACTGCAGAGGAACGGGACTGCACCAGAATGTTTCGTAACTACCAATATCCAGGACTGTGGAGGGCTTGATAATCTAACCCCGCAAGACGAGTCTGATATCCAAGGCGCGGCTGCTGCACTGTACACCGCTGCTGAGGAGACGGTACGTCCGAACCTGCTCTCAAAGTAGACTTGGTCCACTGACTATGCCGATTCGAACAGACTCTCGCCGTCGTGCACTCGTTTTTCTTGGCGATGCTCTTGAATCCGAAGGTGTACAAAGCAGCGCAGGAGGAGATGGAGCAGGTTATCGGCGTCGATAGACTTCCGAATCCAGATGATATGTCGTCCCTTCCCTACCTCGATGCCGTCATGAGAGAGCTCTACAGGCACGTATCCCTTCCGCCTTCGCCCCGACGACCGACAGATTTAGCCTAGGCACCAAATTAACGTTACATTTTTCCAATAATAGGTGGACTGCACCTACATCGATCAACGCTCCGCACAGGGTCAAGGAAGACGACGTCTACCAAGGGTACTATATCCCCAAGGGCGCGAACGTTATCGTGAACAACTTGTACGTCACCCCTCCGGACCGTTCATCGTCCTCATCGTCTCCTCTATTTTTACCTCTTTACTTTCGCCTACTCTATAGCGGACTGCTGCAGGCGTGTCCTGAGCCAGAACGGTTCCTCCCCGAACGATTCTTAGAGGGAACGAAGCTCGGTTCGGTGCCCACAAACCCACGAGACGTCGTCTTTGGGTTTGGACGCAGGTGCGTTGTTCGAGGATCAGACTTTCTTTGGACACAGTTTAACTAACGGCCGCTCCCCGCTAGGCGTTGCCCAGGATGGCACTTCGCTGATCGCTCGGTCTGGGTCGCCGTCGCGCATGTTACGGCGCTGTTTGATATCATCCCGGAGGTCGACGAGAAAGGGCAGAAGATCATCCCGCCTCAGGAGTTCGGTACCTCCAATGTTCGGTATGTACTATTCTGCATCAAGGGGTCGTAGGTATTCACGAATCGGCTTTGTTTGCAGCCACCCCAAGCACTTCCCGTGCCGTGTTGTTCCTCGTGCAGACCGGAAGAAGCTCTTGGAGAAGGTTTTGGACTAAGATAGGACCTTCGGTCCGTTGTGCTCAAGGAATATTTAGATCCTTGGATGTCTGGAACTTTAGGCTTATTCGAATGAACTATCATACATGTGGAATAAGATTATCTACTTTTGAGGAGACTTGGTCAAGCGAGAGTTACGAGAATAACTGAGGAGTTCTGGGCTTCGAACGTCCGTCGAAAGTGGATAAGGCACTCTGGCTCTCGGACAGATACCAATTGCTTACCGGGGACCTGAGCAACAGCGCCCTCTACTCCGACCCGTTAACGTTCTAGAGCGGGATCTAGTACCCTCCAGTGCCACGAGCGCTCGTGTTTCCGAGCTCTTCGTATACCAACGAACAGCGGGATGCCATCGCTGTCATGTACAGGCCCGTTGCTCCAGTCGGAAGAGCTTCACTCCCGCCCATCGTCACGTCAACAGTCCATCTGCTAAAGTTTTGTGAACGTCAAATTCGTCTGTGAGCGATTCTGTCGTTATTTTCACATGGAGTCTACATGACTTCATCTTCATAGTTGAATAGATTTGGCGCTTATGAAGTCGAAAATGGAAATACAGATTAGCGCCTAGTCACGCGTAGCTGAAGTCCGATAATGGCTCCAATTTCTCATGACCATACTTTCTCGCAAGAAGGGTTAACTCAAGTCTCAGAGCTCAGGATCTTAATCGAAATCATAAATAAGCGGAAATACTCTATTCACAAGTATAGGAGATGCTTTATGTACATTCTATGTAACTGACAACAAATAACTCAATTCACAGAGCCTCAATCGCATCGTGAATCATACCCTCAGTAACACCGGGCCGAAGACGGAAGGTGCAGTTGACGTGAGGCGCGAAACTAATCATCTCGCTCGTGTACTCGATCTTGGCGCGGTCGAGTGGCTTGCCATCCTTATCCGTACCGTCGACGATGTCGTAGGCAGTGAGGAGGTGAGCGACGGCAATCCAGACAAACTCGCGGGCGATAACTGGGTTCGAGGGGGTAAATAAAAGTTCGCCAGCGAAGACAGGCAAAGTGCTTACCTCGACCAGGGCATATCCTCCGCCCGAAACCAAAGGCTGCGTCGGTGTCTGCACGCTTGGGGTTGATCGTCCCATCCTTGTTCAAGAACCGTTCAGGGATGAACTCGTCGGGCTTCGGTCCATACAGCTCCTCATCGTGCAGAATGGCCCACACGTTCGCAACGCAAATCGATCCCTTGGGGAACACGTATCCCTCATACGAGTCGTCCTGGTTAAGCACATGGAACACGCCGAGTGGGGTCATCGGGTTCCAGCGCAGCACCTCATGGACGATGGCCTCGATATAAGGAATCTTGCCGTAGTCGCCAAAGTCGGGGAACCTGCCGTGGAGGACGGCATCGAGCTCTTTTTGTGCCTTCTTCTGGACTTCGGGGTAGAGCAGCATGGCGAGGGTGAAGGAGCAGAGCTGAGCAACGGTCGTGTCGGCACCTCCGAGGTAGGCGATGCCGAGGACGTTGCGCATGTCGTCGACGAGCTTGTCAGGCGTGTTGGTGAAGTCGTCCAGGGACGCGAGATAGCGAGACGCGACGGAGGATTTGAAGTTGCCTGTAGCCTATCGGAGCGTTTGAGTATGTCATGTGCCTATTTATAGCGAGACTACGTACCATTTCTGCCTTTACGGTTTCGAAGGGGGTGCGGATGGCTGTATCGACGAGCTTGGCCCCTCTGGCAACTTTGTCCTTGAAGCCTGCACCGGGGAACCAGGAAGGAAGAAGCTTGAGGATAGGCAGAGCATCGACTGAAGGTAAAGTTCGCAATTAGTGCACAGTGGATTTCAGAAGATATCAGACACATACCGATGAATCCACCACGCCCAACATCGGCGAGCAGAGTCATGGTCTCATCCGCAAGAGCGACATAAGAGTCGTCTTCGCCGCTTGGTGAAAGGCCATATGTGACTGAGAGGATGGCATCGCCAGCAGTTCTATATGTGGGTTAGGAACGCGGAGGGATGTTGAAAAATCGCGTTGCTTACAGACGAAGTTCCTTCTCGTGGTTCTTGGTCTTCAAAAGACGACGGAGCAGACGACGAGAGGCGGCCAATTCATGAGATCGACTCGCAGAGTTGGTCTCTGCCTCGAAGTCATGCTTGAAGGTCCTACGGTAGCCTAGAAAAGATACTTGTGAGAACGTCCTTGCGGTCAGAGTTGATGCGTACATACTTTTCCACTTTTCGCCATAGTTCTGGAACACGATTAGACGCGAGACGCCCATCCTGACGAGTTCAAAGTTAGACCACCATATCACACCGATGGGCATCCGGCAACTCACATTTCGAACAAAGTCGACTGCGGTCGGTCCGAGTAGATGAGGGCACGTTTCGAGAAGAGATCATTTACGATGCTGCCTTTGTTGAGGATGATGAGGGTGGCTCCTGGGATTCTCAGTGAAAGAATGTCGGACTCTGAAAGGTTACGGTCAGCACAAAGGGTTTGAGAGTGAGAACGGCTTAGACTAACGATACTTCTGGGCCCATCGAGCGTAGACCCGCCATGGGTGCTTGAGCGGGACGTTAAGAAGGTTACCGATGATAGGCAACCCTCTCGGTCCGGGGGGCAGGTTTCCTCGTCGTTGCGAGAGAACAAGTCCGGTCAAAACCACCACTCCCGCTGAGAGAATAACGCTCCAGGATCCCAAGACTGTCGTATCGAACATGGTGGAAGACAACGCGACACCGATATCGATGAGGGTGGATCAACGAAAGCTATATAATCTGAAACGGGGGAGTCCAGGCCTCAGGAGTCAGCGCGCGTCGGAGGACTTTGAAGAAAAAGCACAACGCACTTCGGTGGAAAGTACAATGATGGAGATCTAAACCGCCAATCGGTCTTGGAACATCCGACTTTACTCTGCGCTCAGTTCGGTCACCCTGGTTCGCGCGCTGAACTGGGTCAACCTGATCCGTCCGATATGTTCGTAATCCATTGCTATGTCCAAGGAGGTACCGTGAATTTGCGCCAATCTCCCTAAGCCAGGTCAGTAAGTACCTCCGTAGGCCGGAGATTGGAGAGAAACTGACTTACCTGGGTCCTGGCAGATTGACATGATGGGTGAAGGGCCCCGGACAATGGGCCTGAAGGTCTGGCGCTGAAATGAACGACTTGGGTCGATAGTCCCAGATGTAACCCCAAAACTCCAGATAGGAATTGTATAGGAGGGAACGCGAAGGAACGATTTCGGGGCGATTGACTCCCAAGCTCAAGTTTCGTTGTGCTGACGTTGGGCGCTCGGAGAGTTTGAGAGAAGATTAGGAAGTTGGAACGTTGGACGTTTCAGGACTCGATTGTCGACCTGGGGATTTGTCGCAGAGATGAAGTTGAAAACATTGAACGATGTTGACAACACCGTGACCCCACGTGGCACTACGTTCCCACGCAATTTTGGTAGGACTGCTTGCGAATACTATCGCTGCATACCTTAGCGTATGTCGCCATAATCGTCCATGCGGTGGTCCAGTATGCTCTCGTGCACTACTCGGTGCGTCTTGGAATAACTCGGTTGATGTGAAACGCTTTGATATGCTCGGGCGCATCCTCTTTGGTAATAGGGACGCGCAAAGTCGTCGGGTCTACCTCGCAATGGAGCAGGCAGCCATCCTCATAAAAAAGTGCGGAGTGCCATGCTCGACATTTTACTGTCTCTTGGTCTCTTTCTACTGCTGTTTCATCTCCTACACCTCGTTTATTCGCCTCCTTCCTTCTCTACTCGCCCGAACGTTGCCTAGCACTTCTGATGAGGAGATACTCGGCGCTCGCAGCTCTTGCTAGTCTCGCCACGCATGTCTCGGCCACGCTCTACGAAACTACAAGCTCCCTACCTGAGACCAGATTTGACTACATTATTGTTGGAGGTACGTGGCTTTCTTGCCGAGGAGAAAACGCATATACTGATAATTGAGGCATATCCCTCTTACAGGAGGAACAGCGGGCTGCGTATTAGCGAACCGCCTTTCCGAGGATCGTAGGATCAAAGTGCTTCTTTTAGAGGCCGGTGGAAAGTAAGAATAGCTTGAAACGCGCTTTCCTATGACGAATCTTGACGGGATGGTGCAGCTATCACGGAGTCGAGCAACTCTCGATTCCTTTCAATTCAATACGCGCAGCGGGACCAGGGTCAGCGTACAACTGGAACACCTCAACGACCGAGTAAGATTTATATCTCTGGCTTTGGTCTTCTTCTCTGTAAATAATGACTTTGGGATACTCAGTGGAGGGACTTACTCGCGTGGGTACGTTCTCGGGGGATCAAGCTCGATTAGTGAGTGGGTTCTTCGCAGCGTGGCAAACTTCTTAATGAAAACGGATCAATTCATAGACGGGATGTTCTACGCCCGAGGGTCCCAAGATGATTGGAATCGGTACGCCGCCGTGACGAACGACGAGGGCTGGAGATGGGAGAATATCCAATCATACCTCAGGAAGGTCAGAGTTCCGAATTCACTAAGCCGGAGTGTTGATTCAGTGCTGACTCTTATTTCGATGCCTCACAGAACGAACAATTCGTCCCGCCTGCAGACGGTCACAACACGACCGGACAATACAACCCCGATGTTCATAGGTATCGTGTCTATCTTCTTTCCAAGGAAAACATTTTTTTAACGATCGTTCCACTCAGCACGACCGGCAAAGTCGGAGTGAGCCTCGCGAATTACCCACAAGTGACGGACCAGCTCTTCACCGAAGCTGTTGAGGAAGAGCCTTCAAAATTCCCGTTCCAACTGGACTACAACGCCGGGACGCCACTAGGGTTCGGTGAGTCTTCCTTGTTCATCTTTCTTCCATTTGAATATTGATGAGCTCTTCAAAGGATGGGTCCAGTCCTCGATCAAAGGAGGAGAAAGGAGCAGTTCAGCTGCGGCTTATCTGGCACCGCAATACCTCAATCGCCCGAACTTGTTCGTCCTACTTCACGCCCAAGCTTCTCGTGTTCTTTCCTCAACTTCAGTCTCGACGAACATTGACACCGTCGAGTTTTCTCAAGGTGCCATTGGAGATTGTGCGTCTCTACTTCTTGGATTCTCTGAATGAACTTGTTCTAAACCCTTCAATTTTAGCTACCGTCGTTACACTCAAGGCCTCGCGCGAGATAATTCTTTCCAGCGGTGTAGTAGGCACTCCGCACCTACTACTCAACTCCGGAATTGGACCTGCCTCCGAACTCTCCGCCGCCTCCATACCAATCGTCCACGAGAATCCCTCAGTCGGAAAGAACTTCTCTGACCACCTCAATTTGCTCAACGCCTTCGCACTGGACGTATCAGAGCCCTTCGTCCCCACTGAGAGTCAGACGTTCGAGCGATACACGCTAGATCCGGCCCAGATGGCAGACGTTACTAACGAGTGGCGCACGACGAAGACGGGTCCGTTGACATCGAACGGGCTTTCGAACCAGATTGGATTCTCGAGAATAGATACGAGTGACCCCGCAGTCCAACAACAATTGGCAGCTTTTGGGGACCCGACACCTGGTCCGCACTCGGCGCACTATGGCTTCACGCCTATCGTAAGTCATTTCTGTGTTTTTAATACGGCAAATTTCCCGATATGACTGATATATACCCATCCAGAACGGATTTGCATTTGGACGAGCGCCGACTAATAATAGCTACTTGAGTGTGGTCGCCACCGTCCTCCAAACGAAGTCTCGTGAGTCCGAATCTGTCAGTTCGCGCTTTGTCCACAATATCCTCCCCTTCTAGGTGGATCCGTCTCGCTCAACCCTTCCAACCCTCGAGGCCAACCTCTCATCGACACCAACCTCCGTTCTGACCCATACGATGTCTGGGCGATGAAAATCGCTTTCAAAGACTCGTTCGCGTTTCTCGCCACCACCCCTTGGGTCAATTATCTCGCCGACTCGCAAGCAGCTCTCGGTCTCGCGCCTGTCATCGACTCGGGATTCGACGACGCCCTCATCGAGCAGTATATCAACACGCACACGAGCTCTGGGATCCATGCAGTCGGAACGGCTGCTATGACTGCTGCTAACTCTCGCTGGGGAGTCGTCAATGCCGACTTGAAAGTGAAAGGTGTGAATGGGTTGAGGGTGGCTGATGCGTCTGTGCTGGTGAGTTGTTGTTTGCCACGAATGTTTGGTTGCGAAGAGACTCATGCTTTACGTTTTAGCCCTACGTGACTTCTACAAACCCGATGGTCGCCGTCTACGTTGTCGCTGAACGGGCAGCAGACCTCATCAAGAGCAATTACAACTGATCGTTCGTGAGATCTTCGTGTTTCAACACGTATTTGCTCTGTATTTTCCGTCCCTGCGTAAATAACACCTCACTAGCGTTTACTTACTTAATTATCTGCCTAATATTCTCTAGAATTTCAGGCGAAGGGATTATACGTCTTATTCTCTATCGAAATTATGTGTTTCTTGGCTCCTGCACCACAATTCCCTCCACGCCATGCCGTTCGTTACCTAGATGCCCCAATGATCATTTGTTTGTCGTCTTGTATCTCCCAACGCCAAAAGAGAAGCACCTCTCAAATATCTATTAGCACCCCACCGGCATAGGCATGTGCACAGCATTCCGGGAATTGTACAGCTTTGAGGGGCATTGAAGTCCTGAAAAGGGAATAGCGCCGACCGCATTGACGCCGACAGCAGCCCAGATGACCCGGCGAATTTACCATTTCTGGTATTTGTTTGATGTTCTCCCGCTGTACCGCACTGTGCCTATGGCTATTAGAGCCATGTTCGTCGTGGAAGGTAGGTAGGACCCCGACATCTTCCTGGTGAGTGAGAATATGGGTGCACTATGACTCTGCACCGAGTTTGACGCAGATTCTTTTCAGTGCACTGTCTAACTTGCCGCCGGTTTGTTCCTCCATCAATCGTCTCATCAAACTCCTCGACGTATCTATTGATGGATGTAATTTTGTGTCCTGGACTCCTGGTCCGCTCCGTTCCTTCGGACCCATAAATAATTTCGACATTCTGTTTCTTTCATCCCGAGCTCGTTTATATTCCCTCCTCTGTTCTTCTTCACTATCGCGACTTTCTGCTCAAGTTCGTGTCACATCCATGTAATCTTCGACCGTAAGTGCTGAAAATGCGTGCAGAATGCGCTCGGCGTATCCGAAACGAACTGTTTCGTGACAGCTGGAACTTGATACGTCAGAAGCGCCTCTACTCGAAGAAGTGATCTATCACGCAACAGCATGTCTCCACTTGGGTAATTTATCCTTATGTCTACCAGAGAATGGGGTGGTACGTATTTTCATCACTCGTTGGAGGAGTACTAATGTCCGTCCCGAGAGGGAGAAAATTGTGCCCTTGTTTCTCGTTCTCTTACACTAGCCTTGGCTGACGAACCGTCTCCTTCCTGGCTCTGAAGCCCGTATCACTACCTTTTACTGCTTTCAGGCTTTCAAGAAGACTGATTTCACACCTCTCAACTATCTAATCCGTGTAATCCCTCCCCTCCTTCGAACTTAATCATCAAATTACCTTCATCGTCACTCGACGTCCCTACTACGAATATTTTTGTCTCTCTACGATACCCACATGAAGCTCGAACGATATCAAGGTGTTTCTGAAGGAATGGAGAAGAGGCAGAGGTGCGTTTGCTAACTATATCTTTACCGGAGTGGTACTAACTCTCTCCTCAGACCGAGCGATCTTCCTGTTAGCGGTCGCCCTTGCTTTTGGCCAGGATGTCCTGGTATATCAAGCTGGGGACCTCCACCATTCGTAACGCAGACTCCTTCGCCAGCTGCTTCCAGGTCAGATGCCCTATCCTCAACTTCGACCCCAACGACGACAGTCGACGGCGCTCAGGCTATGATCACGGTGACCGATTTCTCCTCCTCATCAACACCATCCGACTCTGTGCCCACCGATCTGACCTTCCAATCAGCCGCCCAATCCTCCTCCTCCTCCCCTACCCCAGCGACGATAATTGGTGCTGTCCTAGGCAGCATCTTCGGACTGCTTCTTCTGCTCGCTTTCTGCGTCTGCCTGCGGCGCCGTCGACTCAGGAATCAACCTCCCCCCGAGAACGAGAAGATCGAAGCGTTCAACGTCGACGCTAAGTGGAAACAAAACCCAGATTTCGTGATAAACATCACGGCCCCTCCCAACGAACATGGCATCCAACCCTACCCCTACCTCCATCCTACGAGTGCCACGACAACTACGACCCTCTCCTCGTCAAAAATAAGTGAGAAGAAGACGAAGTACGGCCTGAGAGCGAGCAGTAGCACTGCCGCGTCGGCCATCTCCTCCTCATCTGCAAGCTCATATCCTTCGACCATGTCTTACGAGGAGCAGCAGCGGATGATGGAGCAGCTGAACGCGCTCCAGATGCATCTTCGGCACGTGGAGGCGCAGGTTCGGAACGTGAACGAGAACCAAGTTGGCGCAGGAGAGCAGGAGCCGCCGCCGATGTATGTGGTGGCTTTGGATGGGGAAGGGCGGCCGGAGACTCCGAGAAGGCGAGAGAAAATGTAAACGACCATAATGGCGTTAACTACGAGCAGGGTTTATCATTCCTCTAGCATACCACCATTCCTTTATTTCTTGTGTCACGTAGCATTCTCAACGCATTACGATTCAAATGTCTATATTTGCTCCGGCGTACCCGCTCCCAATATTGCTTACTATACGGAGAAGCCCAACTTCTCTTGATCGATCATAACGCCACAATCTCCAATCTTAGCTTGACTGGCTGCTGCCCGAATTCAAGGGGCACACCGTATTCACGGTGGCCAAAACATAAAAATAAAGTGATGGGCACCCTTTTCCGAAACTCCCACCAGGCGGAAAAAGACTGCGAGATGATATCGTCACGAGGTCCTCGTCGGTGATACTTCAGTCTGGGTTTCTTCTGTTGAATGACGGCACGCCACTCTTATCTCTTATCCATGCCCAATCCCAACTCCAACCGTAAAGTGTTCCAAGGGGAGGCTACTCGGTTATGTAATTATTGCTTTCGCAGGGAGACGGTACACGAGCGGCTGCAGAAATGTGCGAAGGTGAGTTCAATTGGCAAATGGATCTAGTATTTAGGCGCCGATCATGACCCCCATACAGTGTTTGTCCGTCGGCTACTGTGGTCGAGAGGTAAGATGCTTGGATGCGTTCTGAGAGTCGAGATCCTCATTCCTGAGCCGCGACAATCAGTGTCAGAAGAAGGGCTGGTAAGCCGGTATTCTCTTAGACACGCGATCCGCTCATGATTCCTGTGCAGGGCTCATCACAAGAGCCTCTGTTTTCCCCCTGAACCACAGCGCATCTACATTCGAAGGATGATGGTTGAGATACCAAAGGAGAAGATACTGCTACGTTACCTTATGATTGCGATTTCTATTGAGCTTTTCAAAAACTCTCCGACGTTCCCAGATCCGAGGTCACCTTGCATCGTCTCCGTCGAGGTTATCCTCCATCCACTCAGCCACAAGCACTACAACTCTCTCATTTACCCTGAAATATTGTTCGACTCTGTCACCAGCATCTCCATGCCGGGAACTGTCAGGTTCATGTCCATCGAACTCGAGAAGGTGGCCGACCACGAAAAGTTACGACGCTCCTGGGAAGACAACCGCCAATCGATGGACCGTAACCCTCGCCATCTAGACTCCCTTTCCGCCCTCATTCGAATGAATTATACGGCTCATAGCAACATGTTGGCCTATATCAATATGCCGCTGACCCCATCGGACTTCAACTCAGCGAGAGAGGTGGTGTTGAGGGGAGAGCCTTCGGGCACGGTTTGGGGACTTACTTCGGGGAATCCCATGCTAGAGTGCGTAACTACGTTTCTTGATTCATTCCATTCACGAGATAATTTTATCTCTAGCCGTATGAACCTGGAGCTCAGTAAAATGAAGATGAAGAGTCATCCGTTGGCGGTCGACGATAAGAGGCTCATCCGAGATTTCGGAGGCCTCTGCTGTGGCAATAAATAGTTTACCCCATTCCTCTCAAAAATACGCTTACTTATCTGAAAGGCCGTCAACACGGGCTTCCCGGTAGCCAAACGCCAATGAGCACATACCAAATAAATGAAATTTAAACTGCCTGTTGCTGGAGTGAAAGTGCAGTTTGAATCGTGACGCCGCTGGAATAACGGCCAGAGCGAAGAACGAATCTTGAGAAAGGGCGAAAATAAGCGATCGGAAAGCTGGGTCGGGAAAGTTGGAATATTCGCCCATGGCGTTGTGCGGCTACCCCAAATCGTTGGCGAACGTGTTCTTCCTTTCGCCGTGCACACCAGCAGAGGCCATCACTGGTTATTTTAATGAGGATAACCCGAAAGCGCAGCCTAGGGAAAGCGACATACCTCAGAATAGAGGAGTACGGGTCTCAGCTGGACCTCGAGCATCGACACCCTCACGACTTCATTCCTTGTCATATCGTCGAATTAGACGGATGAGCTGGCTTTCTTCGAGAATAAGACAAGTAAGAGAGTGGATCAGTGAAAAACGACATGGATAGGTTTCTCCAAGAGCGAGATACTAAATGAAATAGGTCATTAGAAACCAAGCAGAGGAACGAGCACGAGCATGATACATACCAGGTAGTCATATCCTCGCGTCTGCCCGTCCCGCTGTTTCTCCTTCTCGCCTCGTTCCCCTGACGCGTCTTGCTCGATCTGGATCTGGATCTGCAACAGAGTGAAGCCGCCTTCATGCCATGCGCTCTGTACGTTCAATGAGGCCTCTGGACATACCAGGGGTTCTACAGAAGATACGACGATGAGCATAAGTGGCGGACCAAAAAAAGAAAATCGGGTATCATACGAGCGGCGGCGGGCTGTCCTAAATCACCACGCGAGATGTTTTCTTGAAACTGTTTTCATCCTCTTTGTCGTTGGTCATGGCGCATAGGCAGTCCGACGTGATCACAGTACATTCTCCCTTCTAGTTCGGAGACCTGGTACGGACAGCGATGGTCGACGAATGCCATCGCGGAACCAATGGCTGGCCCGGCGTCAGCCATGGGACCTGCAAACATAGATCACGTACGATTGCTTGTGTAGCTCCGGAATATATTTATTCAAATGCAAAGGAGACTCGGATTCATGGCACTTGTGACACCTCCACCTGAAATGTCGATCTCGCATGACGAAATTTGCGTCAAATTCTAACCGAAGTCCACACCATGCACGAGCAGGAGAGGACATCAGGCATAGATACACGGTAGTAACGTACGTTCCCCGTGTTAGACTGGGAATAGCCATGGTTCAGACGGCGAATCCTGGTTGGCAGTCGAGGCCGGATGGCCAAGTGAAGGTTATCGTTAAGCTGATTGCAAATTTCCCGTAGGCGTTGGAAGAAGAACGGCCGAGATCAGCTGCGCTCCAGTCAATTGGAGATTGATCCTCGTTTTCGATTCTCATGATATGCTGGGTGTCGGTCGTCGTACCTCAGGCAATGACAGAGAAACGGCACTTAAGATGTAAACATAGTTCGGAGGGGAAATGGCATTGAACATATCGTTCGAGATACATAGCTAAAGGTAATTTGATGATTGGTGGAAAAAGACGTCGAAAAAACTTACCAACTATTCTTCTACTCGAGATGCTTCCCCTCCTGTTTCTCCCTCCCTGCCGTCTGCGCCCACGTCTCATCCACCCTCAGCGCTCAGCACCAGCGCCGGATCCTCCTCCACACATGCCCTTTTCATCCGTATCGGTCGATCTATTCGCCTCCACGTACATTCACCCTGGGCGACGTTTGGCGTCGCCCAGGGTGAAGAAGCAGAGGTATGATGACCCTGTCCTTCTCCGGTCTTGCAACGCCCGTAGAGACCCGTCGGAGGCTCGGTGCATGGCGTGGACAGAGCGAAGGCGTGAAATGGGGCACTTTCTGCCCAGGTTATTGAGCACGATGGCGATCGCAAAGTTCGTGCCCGCCAATCAGAATGAGGTTGGATCAATGCGCAGTCCTGGCGAAATTGAAACAAAGGACTCACGAAATTCGGAACAGGAGCTGGATTTACGGCGATAAGTAGACCAGCGTGTGGAGTTGAGAGTCATCGTACTACTCTCGTTGGTGTTGATAAAGGCTACGCCATGAATCCGTGGAAGAGGAAGACAACGAAGGAGAAACTAGATGGGAAAAGACGTCATTCGCGAATACGACAGGAGACGGATGAAGAGACTTACCAGCCACCCCTGCTAGAACTTCTCCTTTCCGATACTGTTCTAGCATCGCAAAACCTGCTTCCCACCAGGTTCTCTACCGCCATCGCCCGTAGTCCAACAGAGATCAGAGCATCAAAACGCTGACAGACCCTCGGTCCACCCTTCTCCGCGCCCCCGTCCCCGCTGACTCGAGGTAGGTCCACGACTGCAGTGTCGTCATGAAATGCGAAGGTCGTGAGGATGAAGGATGATCGATGAGTTCCTGGAGACTGTGACCGATGACGATGAGGGCCGGGGGGAGGGCAAGGTGTGCCAGACCAGACGGGCGGAGGAGAGGAGCGTGCGCTAATCCGCCGTCTATTCTACAGGAGGCTGGTCGTCCCCGGATTGCTGCCTACGAATTAGCGGTGTCAATGTGAAGCCCTGTGCCTAGAGCGGTGAGATGGGCTTACGAAAGGCTGGTGGACCGCGCTGATGTCGCTCTGCAATAGCTACGCTCCAATTCATAAGGAGAGTGGTCTTGGAGTAGTGATAGTATCGACGAAGACCAATATGCCGAAGAGGAAGAAAGCAGGTCAGGGGAAACGTGGGAAAATAAGATCGCCGCTTGTGCTTGTTTGGTGTCAGCGTGTCGGCAGACTTGCCGAGAGCCTCTCCCACGGTTCACGAATCGCGAGCGACCTCCAAACTTTTTGTAGCGCGAGAAATGGGAAATACAAGTTACTTTTAAAGTGCCTCCGGGTAACCCTGCTAATATCTGTGAATTTCAGTGCTTTTTTCCGGCTCTCTGTTTTCTCAAGCTGATGATCTTTTCCTCTTCGTTAGACAGCCTATGTAACCTGTGCAAATATCTTCAATTATTGCCCATTACTGGATGCTCTCGAAGCCTCAGTTCGAGTTCGCAGGGCGACGACGATGAAGTTGCTGTTTGGGCAACCAGCATAGAGTATGAGCGAGGGCGGTGACGCAGCTGCGTCGAAGCTCCTCAGGCACTTTTCTCGTCTCATCTCGTCTTCGTGCCCCATCGCAGGAAGGTATTCATCAGACCTCTAGAATCAACACTGTTGGGTTCCAATGAGATGAGCCACGCTCACGTGTAGCCTAGTCGTCTTTCTTTCGAACCTCTGACCGCGAATGATAAGTGTTACCTGGCATGAGATAAATTCGCGTCATCCGGGATCCAATGTTGGTCGATCTCCGTCTCGTTCTGTCGTCTGTGTGGGGCGTTTATTTTCCAATTCAAAGTACAAAAGGAGGAAGATAGCAACGAGTCATAGCGTTGAGCGCGGGAGGTCATAAGCCCCCGTGACCGCGCCCCGAAATCATCGATCGTGGCTCTCAAATTCCGGCGCTCGGCCGGGAACACCATTGTTCATATTTTCCTATATTCAATCGCATCAATAATGTTGTGAAGAAGAATAGAAAAATCCATACGTACACGGGGTAAAGGCGGAGACCCGGCCACCGGCCGTGGATGAGCCACATTTCAGCACGCGGACGTCTGCCCCGGCCAATCATTAATCAAGCTTGAGGCCACAAATTTTGCGGTAAGATCTGGACCGGCTCTCATTTGCCCTTGTGTAACTAGGTTTCCTTTGTCATTTTTTCGCCCTAGAAACCCTGACCCAAGGATTCGAAGCCCCAGCCCGTCTTGCGGGACTGGATGGTTTCGCGCACGGCCGATGTTGTCAAAATATACATGCCGGCGTAGCGGATGAGCGTCCCCCTGGATTCCTATAGATTTAGAAATTTTGAGAAAAAATCTGGAATTTTCTTGTAGAGGTAGACTGGGCGTCTAAGACTTTAGAACGTGGACCCATAGATCCAAATGATAGCACACAAGAGTGACAGGCGGAGACTGGGTTGTCCCGGCTTGTCAGGCCTCTGCAAAGGCTTATCACAAGAGAACCACGATAATATGATTGGGCCCATGAGATGGAAAGCCAATGGCCATCGGCGATGCTGAGGATTATTTTCTCGCCGAAAAGAAACCGCGACGGGAGATCTGCAAATATCCACATGGTTCGTCTGATGCGTGACTTGAACAATAGGCGCTTGACCCTGAATACCTGCTTCTCGGAATCTGTACAAATGAGGGAAATAGCCGTTTTGAGAAAGTGATAGTCCACAGAGCTCGGCGCAGAGCGATTGCGCCGTTTGCTAATCACGTTGGCGTCCCCAATCTTGACCGGTTGACCCCTCGCCACTCGCTCGCCGCTCCCATCCAAATTCGCCTCTGTCCCGCGCCTTTCCTCCCTTTGCATATCATGACAGAACACGAGATCACCGCGGCCGCCTTCGACCTTATGTTCGAGGGAGAGAAGTCATTCTACGACACCTCGGACCCCTCTTCACTTCTAAACGGCGAATACAATGACTTCCTGGGCGATGTTCTTGGTGTTGGGAATAGTGGCACGCAGTAAGATATCAACTTCGCCTCGCCTTACCTCACCTTTTCATTTTTGCTATTGTATCAGAACATACTACGACTTCAGCCAACCGTATAATTGCGACGCCTTCCTCGAGGAGACTCCACAAGCTGTGACTGTGCCAACTCCCGCTTCTTCAACCCCATCCGTGCCTTCCTCCGATCTCCCACCCGGCGCATACGAGCTTCAAAACCCTGTGGCTCCATGTGCCACTGAATACTGGGAGCCCGACACGACTTATTTCGCCTCCGGATCGTTGCCGACGCATTGCCATACTCCCTTTGCGCCGCATCCTCCTCCAGCAATGAACTATCCACCGATGGCTATTCAACCTACCGTCTCCGACATCCACGTCAACGCAGATAGTAGCATGGCTCACGTTGCCGCCACACCAACCATATGTCCCGCAGGGGCCTTCCCATCTTCCGCTTTCAGCTTTTCTGTCCCGCACCCAGCATACCCGTCTAATCTCCCAGGTCTCGTATGGCCCCCGACCAGCTATTTGGGCGCTCAAAGACATTTCTTTCATAACACGTCCATGGACGATAACACCGGCTTCGCGTTTGATGCGCCCAATGGTGTAGTACCTTCCTCGAGTGCACACCTTTCGCACTCTTCTTTCGCCCAAGCAGCACCCTTTCAACGAGGCGTGCTCCAGCCCGTCCAACCAGCCGCGAGCGATTCTAACCCCCACGCAGGCTTCGGGCAGGCCAGGCGGGGATTTGAGGATGACAGTGCAACAGCGATGCCGCAGCAGCCACGCAGGAAGCGAAGAAGGCTGAACTCGACGGCCACTAGTACCTCATCAATGTCATCAGCCCTCACATCCTCGCCTACGCCCTCTCTATCTTCTGCCTCCTCGAGCTCGAGCTCTTCCGCCTCCCCCTTGCCGATGCGTCCCAAAAACTGGGTCCAAGACGAGGACGGACGCTTCCGGTGCCTACTGTGCACTGCTATATCGGTGTTCACGGACACGAAAAAGGACATTGTGCGACATCTCGAGCGCGCCGAGGTGCACCACCCCGAGAAGGTGCGCTGCTCGGACACCATCTACCGGTGTCCTTGTGGCAGGGGGATATTGGGAAAAAGGAAGGACGCACAGAAGCGTCATGTTGTTACGTACATCGCCAGGGAGAGGAACCGGGCGATCTCGTTGGGGGATAGGGAGCGCCTCGATAGGGTAAATGCATACGAGGCACGGTTGAAGGGAGACGAGTTGCTTTGACCGCATTTCCCCTCGCCGGATTGCTGTTCTTTATTGTTGTAATGTTTTCAATTCAGCTGTTATCTCAAGTAGCTTTCTCGCTTTCGTGCTGTCTGTATATATGTATCATTAGTGTAGTTTCAAGAATTCACTTTCAATCTACCTGCGCTGGAAGATTGCTCTTCCTTGAAAGATGCTGACAAATGACTGATATTGTGCGTCGAAGAGGTCGGGTAAGTTACAGAGCGGGATATTTTTCTGTAAGCCGCCTTTAGCTCATATCTTCCCCTCTATTCAGAGAGAACCATCGCCATCCTACGTGCGGTTGATGCTCAAAGCGTATCCAGGAAAGCCATAGATTCTGCAAAAGAAAGCGGAGGTGATGAGAAGCGAAGAGGACAGAATTAGCGATGAAAGTGGGCCCTGGGTTCCAGTAGCTAACAACCGACTTTGATACAAAGCTTGGACTTGCTCTCTGGCCCACGAGTGCGAATTGTGACGGCATTCATCCCCTTATGTCCGATACAAGAATCTAAAGTAAGTGAGAAGGCATGATAGAACAAGAAGAGATGTGGTATCACATACAATTGCATCGAATGAAGTCGCGTGGGGGCAACTACGCCAGTACTTCTCATCGATTCATCTTACATCCTAGGAGAAACTGAAAGCGTCCATGAAAACATTAGCAGCACATTTTACGGCTGTGATGACAATACTTAGACGAGCTGCAACAGCAGTTCCTCTTGTGAATTGTGTTCAACGGCGAGGGGTTGGAGTCCATACTGACATTCAGTTTAGATGTACTTTTGTGATTCATACATGTGTCAGAGAAGAGGCGGCGGCGCTAGGTTGTGGTCGAGCCACGGAAGGTCGATCTTTGTCTTCGGCTCTCGCAATAAAACATACCGGAGGTCCTCGTATCTGAGGTAGGGAGAGAATTCGTGGCACTTCTGTGAGGGCGAACACGTCTTGGAAACGAAATTTCAACAGGCATTTCATAGCTCTAGATGCATAGCTATAGATCAGACAGCCATCAGCTTGGACTAATTACCGAGGGAGAAGAAAAAATTTGTTCTCTACTCTAGATGAAACAGTTTACACGCCTACTCCTCCTCCCTCATCGCCTTCTCCACCAGCGCGCTTTTCTTCTATTCTGGGGGCCCTTTCTCCGCTTCTGATCTCAAACACCCACCTATGCCTGGCAGAAGCTCGGTGCATGGCATAGACAACCAGATCACCCAGGTATTGGCATTGTCGAGACTGTAAATACTGGGCTTTGTACGCACAGGTTGATGGGCGGGATGGTAATCGCGAAGTTCGTATCTGCCATCAAGAACAAGATCAGATCGGCATGCAACCTTTATAAAGTTTGAAAGGAGGATTGACGAGATCCAGAGAAAGAGCCAGGTTTATGGGGAGAATGCTTAAGCGACGCTTTGGGGGGAGGGGGGTTGAAAAAGGCGATGTCGCGAATTGGCGGAAGAAGAAACCGAAAAGGTACCTGGGTAGAGAGTGGTCAAGATAGACTAAATGAGAAAAAGATCAACAACGAACACGAATAAAGACAAGGCGTAGACTTACCATCCCCCTTGCAATATCCCACCCCGCTACCGGCCAAGTATGCGCAATCCTTCTTGTTTCGGGCCCATCTCCCACAGAAACCACGAACGTATCGACGGATCATAAAACCACCTCTCTCTCAGTACCCTACACCATCCACGCTAAGTTGAGGTAATCCCCAGAAGCCACTTAGGCGTTGAAAACGTAAATATTTATATCCCTACTGAACGATCGCGAGTTCCTGGGGCCTAGGGTATTGAGAGATTCCGGAAGCCAACAACGAAGGGGACCTTGTTATTGTCAAGCCACGGCTCTTGGGAAGAACATTTTACTTACAGACTTGTAGACCCGTGGCGGTATCTATGACCTCCCGAAGGTTGCTGGCTTCCGGTTCATAGAGCCAGCTGTGGGAAAATGAGATCACCATTTGGGCTTGTTTGACAGCGACCTTCTCGGCTATAGCCGGCAACGATTTCCGAAGGAATTTTTTTTGCCCTCGCTCTCTTTCCTTCGTCCACGGTCGTCTCCCTCATCCCGCTAGACATTTCTGCCTAGTCCACCACTCCACGCACTGTCTTATCAGGATGTCATTTATCTACCGTTGCACCCCCACGGGGCGGCATGACTACAGCACGTTGTCTCTATTGAGCAACTATCAACTCGGAGTCTCCTTCTGCCTACACTCACCATCGAGAAAACTACGCGTCTACTCCATCTTCCTCTGGTCTGTCAATTATCTGAGGCAAAGACATTTGGGATGGACCTCTATGTCCTCCCAGCATCTCGAAGCCATCTGCGTATTCTCACTGCACGATCAACTCCTCTGTACGGATCTCCCGGTGGCCTTGCTCAAGTTCCAAGGCCTCAGGCTGTGGTTCTCCCTCTCTCGACAAATCTTATCTCTCTGCGATCTGCCCTCACCCTTGGATGAGATGGTTGAAAGCTTGGAGCTTGCTCAACGACATGGTTCTCTCTCCGTCACGTATTTTGCCCCCCTTTGAGTGTTCCGAAAATGGATATCTTACAGCTCCGCGGTCTTCCACTCGCCTGACGTATATACCTGTCGAACGAGTCCGCCCAGTTCTTTGGGTTTCTCGGTCTCCTCGCGATTCAGTAAGAGAGTATTTCACGGTCAGGCGAGCGTCTGCAGTTATCCAGGTAGTGCTGGTTGGATCATTACCTCTTCCCGTTGGCTGTTGCCGCCGTCTTCCCGTGCTTGAGCAAGATCGGTGAAGTATGAAGGCCGTATTGGGGAAAAATTCTCCCGTAATTTTATACACATGGAATACGACTTAATACACAAAATTTCAGATTGAACACACACAGAGTATGGGGTGAATACACATGCAATGCAGTTTAACACACACACAACGGAGTTTGACACACACGGAGACTAAAGTCATACACAGATGGTCCGTTTCAACACACACAAATTGTTATTTTACACACATGCACGGAATTTTACACACAGAGAGCGCTTGCCGACACGCACAGAGGCGCTCATAGTTTGACACACAGGAATCTCGGCAGGTTCGGCGATCAGCGGAGCTTAAATAGCTCGGCGTTCTCAGCTGGCCTTCTTTGGGCGCCTAAGGCGAGTTCCCCTTGGCCCGCGTCCCCAATACCCTAGACGGGGCATTCTGAAACTCCCTAGAACTTCATTTCAAGTGGTTAATATCTTGCTCAAGTTATTGCCAAATAAATTAATTCACAAGGTTTCTTTGACTATTAGCTTGCCCTCGTGCGCCTCACCCCGGAGTCCTTTGTAGGCACATTTCACGTGAGTAAAGGGAGTAGAAGTGCTGATGTTGAGATTGAAGGGT